CTGGAAGACGGGGAGGCAGCAGGGACAGAGACGTCTGCAGGCTCTGCACCAGCCGCGTGGCCCGGACAAGCCCCACCTCCTCTCAGCACAAGTCATGCAGCGACTCCATCAGTCTGCCCTGCCCCGCGGGGCTGTTCCACGTGCGGACGCTGTCACAGATCCCCCTGCGCGGGGTCCCCAGGGCAGGGCGGTGCCGACCCTGCACACCTGCCCTCACTGCTGGGGCTGCGCAGGGCACGTTGTCCCCACAGGGCCCAGGGTCCTGGGGCTGCTGCTGCTCCTGCGCTCGGCAGCGTCGGCTGCTGGCCTCTCCTGGGGGCGCCTGGGCCTCGGTGGCCTTCTAGAGCCTGTCCTGGTCCCTTGCCAGGTGGGGCAGCTTCTCCTATCCCTTGTTCATGACTGTTTGCTTTAACCCCGTTGCTAGCCGCTGCTGTCCATACAACCATTTATGAAATTAGGGAAGAATGCATTTATTGATAGTTAAGAACTTTACGGCATGAATAGATGCTAAATTGCATCAAACAGCTCTTCTGGATTTATGATGTTAAATTTCATCAAACATTTATTTCTGCATTTACTGAGCTAATCACATTATTTTTCCCTTTCACTCTGTGAATGCCATGCACCGTGTTCTAATATTTCAAATTATAGACATTAAATCAACATAACGCGCTTAGACTACGCCCTTGTTCACAGCGCATCTTCCCCTGACATACTGCTCGGATCACTTCGAGAAGATTTTGCGGAAGATATTGCCTCCGTTTCCGTAAGAGACTGGCCTGCAACGAATTATTCCCGTGCCCTTGTCAGATGCTGGCGCCTGTGTTAAGCTACCCACATAAAACAGGTTCGAGAGCAAATCTTCTCATTCTAGTCTCTAAAAGAATATCTGTGAACAGGAAATCATTTCTTCCAAGAATATTTGGTATAATCGATCAATACATCCACTGGTCTTAGACCTTTCTTTAGAAAAACATGGTTTGGTTTTTTTTTTCACCACTGGTTGTATTTATTTAAACGTTATAGGACTATTTGGGTTGTCTATTTCTTCTTGTGTAACTGCTTCATAAAGTTTTCT